ATTTCGACATACATTTCTTTTTATAATATTCCAAAACACAATACATCTAAACTTCGTTAGTTTGATCGTTATTATTTAAAAGCCTCAACAAAACTGTTTATTGTATATGTTAATAAATGGAAAATATAAAACATATATATATATAAATTTGCATATAGGACATTATATACGTGATATTTGAAAATAGTTTATATTGAAACCACGAAGCCATACTGTGCAAAGGTATTCTAGTTGATGGACACGTAGGAAAGTCGAATCATGTTTCGTGTACTTTCCACAAAGTTCAACTAGATATACACGGAGACCTATAGAGAGAAATTGATATATATCTTATATGTGTATATTATAGACGAACTTCCCTTTTACCGTTAAAATCTTCCCTATTTTGCATCTTCTATTTTCCTGGTTATGTATACGCGTTCTAAAACGAGCTTAACGTAACCTACTTTCCTTTCCCGGAGCTTGAGAAAAGGTTAAGAGCATAGATGTACTGGTGGTTTCCTTGAAATTAACAGACGGCAATACGTATCACGATGTTTTATTTTGTTCTTTTTTCTTTTTCGTTAGAATACATCATACGTACACACATATACAAACGGAAAGAGAAAGAAATAAAGAAAGAGAATGAAAGAGAGAGAGAGAGAGAGAGTGGATCAACATTTTAAGTTGCTGCTCAAAGCAATAATATTTCTCAGGTATTTGACATACCTGTACCTCCGTAATTATGTTTGCCATATTTCTAGGCCACTTTGTTCGCAAATATTCGACACGTGATTAATATTTCAGTGATATTTTCAACTCTATCGTTAATCGTACACTTTCACTTAAAATAGAGTAACAAGAAATATCAGACACTTAAATGTTATTGACAGGGATCATAAGATCAATTGCTTACTATTAATTGTAAGATGAGACAGGGGAAAAAAAGAGTGAGCTGAAGATAGAATTAGATGGGGTGATCCCTATAAACAAGAAATCAATTAGGAGGGTAACTGTAACACTCACGAATAAAATGTTAATTGTGTGACGATTTAGAACACACCTGGTAGAATTTATATTATTAAAAATAATTCGATTAAATTAACCGAATCTAGAAGTTTTTAAATAAATTGCATACTTTTAATTGTAAACATCGTAAGAAATCAATTAGAAGGGTAACTGTAACACTCATGAATAAAATGTTAATTACGTGAAGATTTAGAACACACCTGGTAGGATTTATATTATTAAAAATAATTCGATTAAGTTGACAGAATCTAGAAGTTATAAGTTATAAATTGCATACTTTTAATCGTAAACATTGTAAACATCGTACGAAATCAATTAGAA